GGTCAAGGACCTTGTTTTGGGCAGATATATTTTGCACAAATGACATGAGAGTAGGACATTGATGAGGAAAAATTTTCCTTGTTTTATACCCAGCTGGAAATGAGGAATCTTGCAGGACTTTCACATTCCTTGCTGAGGCATCCTTTTCAGTGAAACAGTCTACATCAACAAGAATGAGGATTTTAATGATCTGTAGGTTTAATACCCTTAGTCTTACAACATGCTTGCTAGTAGAAATTTCAACATGATAGTGAACTAATTTCTTTTCTTGTGGTTTATCTTTATGCAGCTCCAAATGTAGAAGAGGAAGTGTGAGTTCAATGTCATACAGCTTTACAACAGTGAAACACAAAAAGCTATTAATGCAAAAGTCTAGAATCTATTCCACATTTTGATCATTGCTTCCCACTTCAATTTAATGGCTGAGAATCATTTGAAAATACCTATCTGAAGCTCAAAGAGGACATATAGAACAGATTGGTTTTTGCCTTGCATATCAATTGATCATTATACATCAGCAGATTTAATTTAGCACCAGGCACCTGTGAGCTCTGGCAATATTACTGTTTAACAGTTCAATCCTGGAATGGTTCCCAGGATCACAGCAATGAAGAGATTTCCAATAGGTCATCTGTGTAACTTGCCCCCAGGCTGAGCCTCTAAACTATACCTGCAATCTGGATGCATATGCAAAACACCAACCATATTTAGCCAAACATACTTTGATATGCAGGACATCTCAGGAAGCTCTTCATGGCTACATCATGTTGTGCTAACAATGTTTCAATGCTGTTATCCTGGTCACTGCCTACTTACCCCAGAAATAACACAGGTGATGGGCTTAACTAGGGCCACACTTTTCAAACTCATTAACCTTTATCTTCCCCAATTCCTGCAGAGGGTCCTACTGTATTGCAGATCCCTGAGGCAGGCACCAGGGGCATTTGCCTGTTCGCCCTGACCACCTCTGGCAAGTTCAAAGACCCAGGTTCATGCCATCATGTCATCAGCCAATTTCTGGACAATGGAGCCTCAGGATCCATGAAATGGTGGTTGCAATACATGGAAAATTTGGAACTCACCTCTACTCTGTTCCCCATCCGCACTACCCATTAGTGTGACCTATTTAACTTCAACAGCAACCCTGATCAGCCCATCCTTGCCCCACAGGGCCCTCAGTACAGGATAGGTAAAAATTAGCCAAACACTTTTGTTCAATACACTAATCAGGCGACACTGGTCTAAAACTCCTATATGACCCCAAAGCGACCAGTTCAGTTTCAATGGAGGCCTGATAAAGGGTGTAGTGGCCTTATATAGTCCCATTTCCCACCCTGCTCAGGCGAGTCTGGGAAGCCACAGGCATCCAAGGTTGCTTGTCTCCCCCTCTGGGGAAAGGCAGGCAATCTGCTCAGCCATCAGACATGTGCCTGGAGCAAGGCATTCTGAACATCTCACACATGTTTCCTGTCCAACAGCTATGTATACATCTGTGCCTACATCTGAAAGCCTGACATAAATATAGTTTTGGGGCAATACACCCACAACAAGACACACTAATCACCCATCTACAGAAAAAGACAAAAGTCTACAATCTCACAGCCATAAATACTCCACTCCCAAGTCAACTACACCAGAGCACAGAGTGCTGTCCTCTGAAGATGCCAGCCACAGAGACTGGCAAAACATTAGGAAGAACAACCTTCAGAACACGGCCAAAGAGCCCGAAAAACCCAGAACAACCATCCTTGCATGTTTCTTTATTACATGACTAGAAAAGAGGAAAAATACATGTTTCAAAACAACAGCAGATGAACCAATACAGCAAGAATTTCTCCGTCACTTTGTGTTACCTTCAGCACAACACTTTTCAACAAGGATGGTTCATATATTTAGCTGTCAGACGTCAGCACTAGTCCTTATTTAAATGCACAGACAGCCAATGCAAATCTGTTGACAGAATGAAGCTGTCCCTGCATGACATGCTTTTGGTAGCTCCGTTTATCAGATGACTTGTAAAGAAACTGAGAAACTGGGGAATATGGGAGATCAGGTCTATCTTAGGATCAGGCCTCTGTGTGCATGGGGAAATTGTTTATAGTTGTAATGGTCAAGATTTTGCCCAGCAACGAGCATGAGAGCACCTGCCCCTTATCTCATGAGAAGAGTCTCCTAGGTCTCCATTTCCAAGCTAGGCTGGTATAGCTCTCATGAAAAGAAGAGATCTCAGCTATGTAAGGCACGTGGGGGGGGGGAACTGATTGGTTGTGAGAAAGGAATAACCTGCAATTGGCAATTTGTGGTACTAAATTCTGACTTTATCCTTTGGCAATTTAATGGGATTGTTGGTGATTATGAGTGCAGAAACAGAAACTGCAAGGCTGCTGTGTAGGTTTAAGTGCACAGCCTTGTTGATTTTGGTTCCTTGAAGGCACAGATGAGTCAGTATGTGTAGGAACAGAGGTTGTGCTAGGAACAGAGGTTCCTGAAGGGGGTTTGTAGTTAACACACACTTGGGAAAGTAAAAGATAGTATGGCACAATGGCTGGGTCATAATCCTTGGGTTCCATCACATCTATGATAATAGAAATTGGACCCTAGCATTAGAAAGGGAAAAAAATGCAAAATTTTAAGATATTAAATTGGCAACTATAAGGAAAAAAAACAAATAAACAAGCCTGTGCCTTTCAAAGCAACTTCTTCTATTTCACTTGAGTAGCTCATACCAGCTGGCACCTATAAATAAATTTCCCATTTTGCAAATCATTGTTTTAGCCCTCAAGGTTGTTAGGTTTAAATATACAGCAGGATATATAACAAAAGAGTTACCCGTCGGATGGATGGATGGATGGATGGATGGATGGATGGATGGATGGATGGATGTATATATATATGGATATAGATAGATAGATAGATAGATAGATAGATAGATAGATAGATAGATAGATAGATAGATAGATAGATAGATAGATAGATAGATAGATAGATAGATAGATAGATAGATAGATATCCATCTATCTATCTATCTATATATATATCCATCTATCTATCTATCTATCTATCTATATATATATGGATGCTGTGTTGACACAACTAAATATTTCTCTATCCATATATATAGTATGGAGCCTGCAGGTGACGGGTATATATATATATATATATTTGTCCTGCATATAGGTGAAGAAAAATTAGTTTGGGAAAAAGTGACAAAAAAGCTTCTGGAGCAAGGGCTGCCACTGAATGCCTGCAATTTCACTTATCTGCTGCCTGAAAGTATTGCTGGTAAATAATGTCCCCACCCACTCACCCACCTAAGAAATACACATTTTCAAGTTGTATTACCAGAACTGGCCAATAGGGGGAATCAGGGACTATGTTATATATAGTGTTTCTATACCCATGCTTTTCGGTATCTATGTGGGGGGGGGGAGAGGACCGATTCCCCACAGATACCATGGTCTTATTGTGATCCTATAAATGAAATGGTATACCCATTAGCCATTAATGGTTATGGTTGCCTTAGTGCAACTTTACTTAATAGGAGACCTGGGTTTTTATCTGTGTGATATGACATTTCACAGGCATGGATGATGAATTGCATAATTCTTCTCATTGCTGGCCAGGATGGCAAGGGATTTCCTAGTGCACTCAACAGAGTTTTCTGTTGAAAGAGAGGAGGTGATGAGTCTCACAGGGGGCTTAAATTTTTATTGTGGGGGTGTCTGTTGAGTCAGCTCCCCTCAATCTATGAGAATGAGGAATTTAAAAGTATTCTTTTCATTATAATTGTACTTGTTTCATACAATATTTTGTATCAAGCCTAAGACTTGGTCCTAAAATCTTAGCTCAGCATCCTGTTTGATGTAACAGTCAATTTGCTAACCTGTCTTTAAATGTTGAAAGAATGTCAAGATGGCTTCTCTGCCCATTATATAGCAAAGAAAGAGCAAAAGAAAACACTCTTATCATCATGGATGAGAGATACAAAATACTGTCAACATTTATGTAACACACAGGAGGCACTGAGCCCCATGGCTCAATGGTTAAACTGCAGTACTACAGTCAAGCCTCTCTTCACAACCATAGTTCCATCCCAATGGGTTCAAGGTTGACTCAGCCTTCCAATCTTCTGAGGCTGAGTACCCAGCTCACTAGGGGGCATGTTTTTGTTTGCATATGTTGCAAACTGCCCGGAGAGTGCTCTAAGCACAATGGAGCAATATATAAATTAAAACAACAGCAACAACATCATTTGGTGATTGTGTTCTTAACCGTGGTTTATCTCAGCCTCAACCCACACTGAAAGTAAAGTTTTCAGTCACCAGTGACAATGGAGATTCTGTATATGAATGTTTAGATCCTGTTTCTCTCTTTATGAAGAAAGAGCTAGACAATAAGTTGTACAAAACACCATAATTTTCTCCATCTGACTGACTAGAGCTCAAATCCGGTCTCAGGGGTAGTGCTCACTGAAGTATGAAAAATTATTCCCACTGAAATGAGACACATATGTCTGGATTGTACTACTTCAGGCTGCGTGCTGTGTTGACACAACTAAATATTTCTCTATACAAATAAGTAAAACAACAAATCTGTCCACACTGAAAACCAAACAAGGGGAGAAGGGTTGTAGCTCAACTTTATTCCTGGTGTGCTTTTTTTTGGTATGCAGGCAATATTGTGTATACAGGAGAGGAGCATGCAGTCTTGCGAACACTCGCCTGTATTCTGTTGCTAGTCCTGAATAAGAGTCCTGGTGTATACAGGAGAGGAGCATGCAGTCTTGTGAACACTCGCCCGTATTCTATTGCTAGTCCTGAATAAGAGTGGACCCATTAAATCAACTGCTGAATGGTAACATTTCTGTAAATCCCACTGAGTCAATGTGTCAATCATTGCTAGGTGGGACTAGCAATTGGACATTAGCTTTCATGTTAGAAGGATACATAAAGGATTAGAACACCACCTTCACAGCCTGTTTCGACAGAACTTTCTCATACCTTTATGGCAGTGGAGGCAATCTGAATATGATGAAGTCTTCTCAGAGTACTGTCCCTGTCAATAAAGTAAGAGGCTGCTAGTTGGTGTAGAGTTTCCAGAGTCACTGTGGTACTGTTAATGCTGGGATCACTCGTTTCCGATCTCTTACTCAGCTTCCGCTTGTCCACAAAAATTGTGAGAGACTCCTCTCCTGTGCAAGGAAGACAGCAAATAATTAGTGGGAAAATGCCCCACAATTCCTTTCATTTTCCATGACCAAAATGCATCAAATTCAGTTCTCTTGCAAGGAAGAGAAGTAGAGTACAAGAGTATGCACAAGGTCCCAGCTGCAGTCCATGGCACCACAATCTGAAATAAAGTATGTAATCAAAAGGGATGAGAAAGAAATCCCATTCCAGACCGATGAAAGCTGCAGCTAGTATCTACATAAAAGAGACACATTTCCATGAATCTCCAGCCATATTCTCCATGAGGAAAAATCAGGCACCATGCATGCAGAATATAAAACGATATCAAGTTAAGTGTTTCTCAGTCTTCTGTACTGTATGCCCTGCCAATCCTTCTACCCCAATTTGTGTATTTCATGACATAAACAAAAATGCCAAGGTCAATAAAGGGTATATATACTTATGGACATGGTTAGTTTATTTATCATGTATACATGATACTTTTTAAAGACACAAATTGCAATGATATTGTTGGGAAGAAACACAAAGAATTCTTGGTGATTTTTATGAAATCCCTGTGTATCACCTACACTACGTCCCTATCCTACCAGTTGTACCCATATGAGAACTATTGATCTGGAGTTTATATGGGAGAAAATGGGAGCCAGGGTGTGATTCTTGCAAATGAAGTTTTCAGTTTTTCAAGTTTTCCACGTAGCTGCTTCTGCCACACTGCTGTTGCTTTCTCTCAAGCTATAGTGCAAGGAACATGAAAATGGCTTAGAAGATAATATAAACATTAATTAGCAAATGAACTTGATTTGGGCAACTATTCAAGGTTGTGCCCCTTAAGAAGTAAAATGGATTAATCATAATGTCTAGCCAAAGGAAAAGGCAGGGAGATTACTCAGTACTGTAACTACACAGTTGTGAGTCCTACATGGTGTAAGAAACAGCGTTTGGAAAACTTCTAGAGAAGTTTTGTTTCACTTGTCTGAAGCAAAAGAAAAGTATAAAAGTACATTTTTGTTTCATACAGAAAAAAAGAATCCCCATATAATCCAAAAATTGGTTCAAGGGATTAGCAGGCTTTTTAGATATATATTGTTTTTTAATTCCAGGAATGTCCTTGTTTCAGACAGATCAGTAGATAGAGACTTTTATTTATTCATAGAGAATGACCTTTGTGTGGTATTTTCTGGTATCCTGACTATCCTTGAAATGTGCAATCTATACCTTAATTTGGATTTAATCCTTCACAGGTATACAAAAACATACAGTATATCTCTATGTTGCTATTGAATATGAAATATTCCCTGGGTGACATAATAGCAACTTGACTGAAAAAATGAGAAATGTATCCTATTTCATGATTCATGACAATATTTATGGTCACGGACAACAGATTCATGTTTATTTCCACATATCTTTGTATCATGTGCTGGTAATGAGTTCTGTGCTATGATGCCATCTTGTTGTTTGTCACTCTGCTTCACGTCACCAGCTGCTTTGTGAAATGGAGATAGGTGATGCATGGAAATGCCTCAGTATCAGTCTAGTCCTAATTAGCCAAGGTGTCCAAAAACCAGCTGAGCTGATAATATGGTAATTAATATGCTGAATCCAAACTGACACCACCCTAGGAGTGACCAGCAGCAAGACAAAAATCACCTTCATCTTGGCCTATCTTTATGCTGGCTCTCTGCCTGTCTCTTAGGCTGGAGAAGGTATAGACATGACATAATTTGGCTTATCCCTCTCATCCTCCCCTCTCTCCTGATCTTCTTGGCTTTCAATCTGTGATCTTAGCTACTGCATTGGTTCTGCTGTCCTGGATTCTGTAAGTGTATCTAAGAGATCAGCTGGCACCAGCAGATTCGGCCAACAGGATGACATTTTGCCCAGCAGAAGAATTCTGTCTGCTGAGGACACGCTCTTCTTCCTGACTCTAACCTCTAGAGACAAGGCGTCCTTCAGTTAGTACTATGACAAAATTACACTCTATTGCATTACATAATTCATTGCTGTATGTTGAATTAGAAGAGAATAACACAAGGAAAAGAATTTGGAACCAGAAAAGCGCTTAGTATTTTTAGCAACAGCTTTATATAATAGTGTCTAATCTTTCCCATTACACAATAAGGTTTGCTGGAAAAAAATCAATGAAATAAGTAGTGACCACAGACAAGAAATAAATGGTAGGAAAATCCAAATTCATGGAAATCAGTAAAAAGCAAGCAGCCCATGAAATGTGCTTGAAGATCTAAAATGAAAGCTTGAGTTTGTTGAAAAATATAAGTACCTTGGAATTTTCTTGAAAAAACTTAAAAATGACTGGAATAGCTTCCTTAAGAGGATAAATATAGTATATAATAATGAAAAGTGGCTTTAAGAACATGCACAATATTGTGCTGTGTTCTACTGCATGGCATGGAATCATGGGCTTTTACACTGCTATTAAAAGATAGAAGCATTTTAGATTTGGCTTTACTTTTTGACCCTAAGCACTTCTTGAATTAGGAATTATTGATAAAAGAAAAATAGGGGGAAAAGGGAAAAAGACAAAAGCATGGTGGCACCTTAAAAACTGACTTTTTAATTATATATTTTTTAAATGTAGGATTACATTGACAAGTCCACTGCCTCAGACATCAGACATGTCTGATGAAGTGGACTTGTCCACAAAAGCTGACATTAAAAAAATATAAAAGTTTTGTCTTTTTTAACCTTTTGTTTCTATTTTGCTTTTATCTGTAATGCTTGCACAGAATTACATGGCTTCCCTTCTACAACTACTACTTGAATTAAGACATTGACCGATAAAGAAGTACCAAGAGTAATAAGCAAAAAATCAAGAAATAATACAAATAATAAAACATAGAAGGCTAGACTATTTTGGTCACATAAAGGGAAACAAAAAGTACAGATTGCTATAGCTGATCATTCACAGTAGAATAATTAGGAAAAAAGTGCACAAAGAAAAATACTATAATAGCTGAAGAACACTGAAAAAAAGTTGGGACGCAGTGCATCATTTTTCAGAGCTGTTGCATCCAAAATCAATATACTGTAGTGATGTTTGACCTCCAGTAGAATAAGGATGTATAGAAGAAATCTTTCTATGTAGCCTGACCATATGTATTTTTATTCAGACGTAAGCTGAATTCTGAGTTTAACAGGGCTTAGTACCAAGTAAGTGTAGCCAAGCTTGCAACCTTGGTTGTTTCAACAACCCTTTTTGCAGATATATGCTTTTGTTTTCTATGAAATTTCCACTTTGAGCTCCTCTTTCGGTATCTTGGCACTTGCAAACACAGAGGCTTGCTATATTGCTATATTGTGGTGCTGGAGATGATGAGAAACATGGATTTGGAACCCCAGTGTGGCTACTTCAGCAAAGAGGACACCACCAATTTCCACAAAATTGTTAGGAAATGGCAGGCTGCAATAAAGAATTAACTCCACATAGGTCTTAGGAGCAACTTCAGGAATTTTTTAAATAGAAATGCAAATGACAAGATCCTGTAAAAGAAGAATTAGAATAATGCTGTTAACAGCTTTAGCTAAATAGACATAAATATAACCTGGGAACATTTTTTTAATAATGTGTAATAATAGATGCTCCTACGATTAAAACACTTGAATCTGTTTCCTGCCTCAAGACATTTTCCTCCTGTAGATATTTTAATAGTCTGGCTTCCAATTTTCTCTTGCTATTAGTCATGAAAAGAACATAATTTTCAATCTTTAAACCAAGAAGTATTATAGCATGGAGGACGATGGTTTATTTGGAGCAAGCAATAAGGCAAAATAGTTTGACCACAATGAGTGTATAACATAAGAGCATTCCCCCCCCACACACACACACAGGATATGTGATCCAATCTCATTTCACTACAATGAGTGGTTGTCATGCAAATATCAGACCAATTTGTCAACATGGCAAACCTGCCCTACCCTAAACTTTGCAAGGACTCATCATTTAGTTCAGGGTAAAAGGCAGATTTAGGAGTCTATGCAGAGATTCCCTGTTATTGATTGAACAGGGGAGGTTCTCACACCTGTGGAATGATCCATAGCTCAGTAACTGCACACAGCCTCTGCAATAAGAAAGTCCCAGACTCAGCTCCCAGCATTTTCTGCTGAAGTATTACAAAAGATTTATTTGAGGGAGCTGCTTTAAGTCATCATAAATGGTACTGGGCTTGGTAGAGTAATAGCCTGATTCAATGCAAATACAGCTTCTTGTGATTTTTATGTAGGCAAAGCTGGCCTAAGTCATATAGCTGCCTGAGGTGAAAGGCAACATGGTGCCTCCTCCCATTACAAGTACAGATGCGGGCTTAACGATTGCCTTGCTTAATGAGGAAATCGCTGTATGATTAGGTTTTTGCGATTGCTTTTGCGATCGCAAAACAATGTTTTAAATGGGTTTGTTTCATTTAACAATGATCAGTTCCCTGCTTCAGGAACTGATTTTCGCTTTACAACGATCAGCAAACAGCTGATCATCAGGTTTCAAAATGGCCACCGGCTGAAGAAAATGGCCCCCCACTGTTTTCTAGGATGGATTCCTCGCTTTACAGGCACTGAAAATGACTGTTGTATGGAGGATCTTCGCTGGACGAACAGGTATTCAGCCCATTGAAACGCACTGAATGGTTTTCAATGCATTTCAATGGTTTTTTTTTTTCATTTTGTTTGACGATGTTTTAGCTCTACAGCGATTTCGCTGGAATGAATTAACATCGTCAAACGAGGCACCACTGTATAAGAGAAGAGAAAGGGCTTCTGGTATATATATTACTGGTATATAAGAGAAGAGAAAGGGAATCCCAGAGTCTCTTCTCTTCTATCTATCTATCTATCTATCTATCTATCCATCTATCTATCTATCTATCTATCTATCTATCTATCTATCTATCTATCTATCTATCTATCTATCTATCTATCTATCTATCTA